GAAGTTAGGAATGCATTTCGATGTGTTCAGAACATCGCCCAGAATAATTCAACCTTTCAAATAAAAAAAGTACGAAAAATCGCAGTTTTTAAGGACCAGTAAACAAATCAGGCTCCTGATTATTTATTACTGTTATTACTTCGTTTGGTTTCGAGTAGAAAAATAGGTTCCTGTAGCACATTTTCACTTCACTCTGTTCTATGCAGTCTTTCTTAGCTGGCTCCCCGATTTAAAACAAGCTTATGTTTCCTCCCCACGTGATCTACTCTCCATATCACCCTCAGATCCTCAACTCGTTGTTTCCCATTTAGGTTACATTCGACGGCCTGGTGTGTGACGTAACTCGACTACATCTCAAGCATATGTCCCGTCCATCTTCATTTCATTCTGCATATTTACTAAGCAATCAAATTCGTTCTTAGTTGGTTCGTTGCTCGAGTTCATTGTCGTTAATCCTTTCCAGGCACCTGATCTTCATTATCGAACAATCGTAGAAGTTGGTGAAATGTGAGATCTATTATAAACGCATTCGGGGAGGCAAGCATCAAGTCCCTAAACCAAATAGAGGTAGTGACTTGACATTAATGTTGAATATTCATATCTTGTCCCTTATGCTGAGTGCAGCAGATTTCTACACTGATTCTGTAGCAATGAAGGTCTGTTTGCTACTGTTCCCTGACGGTTGAGGTGAAAATGTCCTTTGTATTTACCTCTTTTAGTTTCCGGTGTTGAACACTAACTGTGGTCTGTCTGCAGCCTCTTTGAAGCCCTCGAGCTTGACCTTGAAGGTTCCCTACACTAGATAATGGTCTAAGCCTACATTTGCTCCTCTTCTCTATTTGTATCCAACAGATTGAATCCCCACTTTCTTGAGGTTGACATGAAGTTTATCTGTTTTTTGATGTGTTCGTCAGATGAAACTCATATCGCTTTGCTTATATCCTTATGTTTGTAAACGCTCCCTCCAATCACCAAGCCATTAAAGGCGCAGAAGTTCATGAAGAGTTCAGCCCCTGTCATGTATTCTGCCAAGAGGCTTCGGGCTCATGATGAGTCCTCTTCCTCTGTTGTTTACTCCCATTTCGGTTGGCCTTCATATCATGAATTTGGATTTCGATGTTGCTACCTGGCCATCTCCATTACCATTTGCAGTTGTCTGCAGAATTCTTTCTTCCTGCCTTGGTATGCGTTATTTGTAGTCAGGTAGCATTAAACAGTTTTAACTTTGCCAGGTAGTAAACTAGGCGACTTTTCGCGTATCTGAGTAAGACTTGTATTAATCATCACTTTTTTATTTGATTACAAAACACTCAATTAATCTCATGCACTGGGTGACTAGAAGTAAGTTCATTTTTCAAGCACGTTTTTACAAAGCAAGTGTCAAGCTTTTTATGAAAAGCTCATTCATTAGGATTATATTTTTCACAGGAGATTTAATGGAGTATAAACAGCCTGTGTATGAATCTACCTGAAGTTTTTCACTGTTTTGGCTTATTGGTTTTGACACATTGGTGTCAAAAATGGAAATCTTTTTTATGTTAAATGCTGTAGTTTTTACTCCACACTGATTTCAGGGTACAGAAAGCCTGTCTTGCTTCCCTCGTTCGATTCTGGCCGGCTTTGACGTAATCAACTGTGCTGCCTTCCAGTAGTTAAGACGATGATATCCACTTCAGGCAGATGAATGAGATGACTTCCTTCATATTTCTTCTGTTGATTGTGAGTGGTTGGGCATTTATATCACTTCCGTCTCTTGTGATCACCTGAAGTCCTGTCTTCGCTTTCTCCTCCACCAGCGTACTGGTCTCACTTGTAAATTTTCGAGTTTATGAGACACGAGACATAAATCAACCGTTAAGTCTAGCTCCTCTAGTCTATTTGTAGGTCCAACGTGCATTAATCTTCCCACCCACATGGTTTGTTGCATATTCCAGTCCACCACAATCTAGAATATCATCCGTTATAGTAGACAGTTCTGTATTACTCCGCTCTTCACTTCAGATGCTTCGATAAGCTTACTGTTGAATGGGGTTTTTTAAAGATATGTTGTACTAAATTCCATAATATTAGAGGGGCTAACAAACTGGTTGATGGTCGATTGTGTCAATGGCGTTTCCAACGTGGATGAAGTTGAATTCCATCATAGATTGAACTTATTCGATAAAGGCAAATAGTGGTACAGTGTTATTTACTGATGACGTTTCAAGCGCAATTTATTACTCGTCGTCATATCAAGGAACTCACATAACTTTCAAACTTCGTTTATACAGTTACACTATTTTTGATCCTTTAACTTTATTGGTAGTAATATTTTCCGTATCTCTGGTATCGGCGTTGTGTCATTCCTATTGCAAGTGTTGAATGTAGATTCAGTGGACAGAGATTCAGTAATCGGCCTCTCTTACCTCACTGTGTAGTTGTGTATTAATGCAGGCATTGCCATCGCTGAGTTTTTCTTCAAGCCATTTATCTTACTGGGATCCATCATTCTACACTTAGCTAAATTTGCATGCTCCGATAATCTGACTACCCCTGAGTGCATTCGTAGGTTAAAGTGCCACCCTAACCTCCGCTTTATTAGGAATCCTGTATATTGTCTCATATGTCCCTTCCTTACATGGTAAGACTATAGATGCCTTAAATTTAAGGCTTTTAGTAACTTTATAGCCCCCAAATCTTTTGGTATTGTCGGGCACTTGGTGTTCTATGTTATTTCTGTCTCCGTTAGTGGTATTTCAATACTTCACTCATGCTAAAGTGGTTTAGAGAAATGAAATTAGTAATACTGACTTCTGAAAAATTGCTAGTGTTGCTTTACCTACTATGACAATAAATGACTGAAGGTTTAAAACTATCCCTTGAAAACAGGTGTATGAAGAATTCATAAATCTTTTAGTACATCATTTAAAAGTGATTGCAAATAAGAACATATTTCAGGTTTATACAGAAATGAACTTATACTGGTGTAACGTACTCAATAGGCATAGTTCTAACTGTGAAATTCGGTATGGGATGTGAGAACTCCATCTACAATGTATCAAACTTTGTAGATGTAACTCAGTTTTCATTTTTTTTTAATCTCGGATCAATAGATTTCAACCAGTTTTTAGGGTATGAAGACTTTATCCTTTGTCAAGGTGATTTATCTCTTTTTCAAAAACATGTTGAAGAAATTGACAACATTTATGGGTTGATTAGATTGTTTTTTCTTGAAAACGAGTATAGAGACAAGGCAAGGAAAACGAAACGAACAATTTATTTATTCCCGGACACACATTTATCTATCCATGTATGAGGCAAATCTTAACAGTTGGTGTAATTTAAACTCTGGAAGAAATTCTCCGAGTATATTTCATTTTATGCAAACTGTATGCTTGTCCTAATTGCTTTCCATTAGAATTGAGGTCAAAAGACTTCACTTGAACTTTGGTATTATGATGTTGAACGAGCAGTTTATGCACTATGCACTCACATTCTAGCTTTGAAGATGTCAATAGTGTTCAGAGTTAAGATTAAAAACTTGACCAGTCGATATCTATTACAAATTACTAATTAGGTAGATCACCGAGCTAATAATTCTGACAGAGCTAATTCCTCTCGTAACTCTATGTTACATTTTACTTACAGTCATCACCCCTTGTGTATTGATATCACCAACTTTATACTTAATAATTCTGTTACAGAACAATTACTTAGAAATTAAATAAAATACACAGATTAACTGATATACAATGTCATTAGTTCGGAAATAATTTCAGTTCACTATTACGTGTAAATACGTTTTCATAAAAAACGAAATGTTTAGTTTGAAATTATTTCTATTTTCGGCAGTAAAACGTACAAATTGAATTAGTAATATGTATATTTTGTAAAACAGTGAAGTAAAATTTGGTCAACTGCCTGTTTTTCAGTAGAATTTTTGCAATAGTATTTTTTTCTACAAAAAAGTGCGAGACCTGAATTACAGCATTCCATAAAAACTCAAAGAATCAACAGAAAATAAGAAAAGTAAAAGCAGAACAACATGAAATCCAAAACTGTAGACTTCAAAGATATTAGGAATAATAAAAATAAATATTAGAATTGCATGGACGACAATAACTGTGTGTACATAATAACCTGTTTATTTCTATCTTAATAGCTGCAGTTGTAATTGTCTGTTACTTGTGCTTTATAATATATATATATATATATGCATTCGATGTTGCATAGCAATTGTTTTGTTTGCTTATAAGCAGAAAATAAAAGGTGACCGCCTAACATGCATGTGCATATTTGAAATAAAATAAAGTTCCCCTGTTTTCGTATTCCGCGCAAACTAAATTTGTGTGGTTGTCGCTATATGAAGAGAAAGTGTATTTTCAATTATTTAAAAACTAAACTGTTACAATTGTTGTCTGAGCTTTGCTTTACAAGTAAACCATTAAACCGCTTTACATAACGATTTGGTAGATTGTCACAAAGACAAGTGAAATTGAGCAAAATTGTTTAATGACAATACAGATTAGAAAAGAAACTGGAGCCTTTATACGTATATGATCATAAACAGAAGTTTATGTATAATAATGAGTGATAAAAAGAGTAGCATGGGGTGTAAAACACTTCTACATTGTTAAAGCAAATCTCGTTTTATAGTGAAACTAAGTGAATACAGAGTTGTCTTTATATATCTCGTACAGTTAATACTTATAAAAATTTCCTATTATTTATTTATTGTGCATAGTGTGAACAATCATCATGCTAAAAAAGGTAGATAAGAAGTGCTGATTACTAGTTATAGTGTTAGTATAGTAGCACACAGATACGATTAACTTATCAAAATATGAACTGAATATTCACTGAAATTTCACATATTAGAACGATTTTTACAAGCATATGCCATATTGAAAATTAGAGAAACATTTTAACTGAGGCAATGATTTCACTTCACACAAATTCTTCTGTTGCCCTTATATATAGCAATCAATGCTGGTCCACAGGTGTTATATTTATATATTAGTTCAGTGTTCTGTAATTGGTGCACTACTTCGGCGATGAGCAAGAGCGGCGAATCGTAAAAAGGAATGTTCACTATTAAAGTCCAATGTTTTCTGTTCTAATTTACTATCCTTAAGACGTAATGACTTTTGCACTGAACGGACATCTGTATTGGAGACAGGTAGGCATTTCGACGTATTATTAATTACTTCTTCACACAGCATTTGTAAGATATTCGCTGACGGTGTACCAGATGTTATTAGTGTTTTAAGAGCAGGTGACTGAATTTTCATCCTACTAAGAGCTGGCAGGAGATTGTTACTACCATTATCATTATTAGTGTCATTATCTTTATTGCTATTATTGTTGTTGTTATTATTATTATTGGTTGAGGTGAATGACAGTGTAGTTGGTGACTTTGTCTGCACAATAGTTTGTGGGTCACTTTTTAGCACAACAACATTACTCGGTTTATTCGATAGTGAGAAGTTGAATGTTTTTCTGATTGCCAACTGAGTTTCTGGCAATGAATGTCTACGGATGACACGTGTTGTTATAAAAACAGTTTGTTGTAAATTTGATGGAGGAGAATAGTCATCTGAATCCACTGCTTCGTATTGCGTGTTGAAATTTTCAACAGGTTGATTGGTGGCATGAACGGAAGCGATATATGATTGATGTAGATCCTCTTTGGCCTTTTCATTCGATATCTAAAACAAATGAAATATAGAACAAATTAATACAACAGTGAAGGCTTTCATTTGGTTTCGGAAAAAAATATTTGCATAATTATTATTAATTTAAGAAAAATGTAAATATATATGTTATAATACTATGTTGATTGGAAATTAACATTTTTTTAAAATCATATATGTTCTTACCACTATATGATTATGAAAGATTGAGAAAAATAACCTTTAGAGAGAAACAAACAGAACGTGAATTTTAAATCGAATTGTTATTCTATCCGACCCAATTTTTATACATTCAGAAGCAAGCGATGCACACCAAAAAACAAGACATTTTACTTTACTACCTATACACTACTCATAAGTAGCGATAGGGCAGCAGAAAAGTTAAAGGTGCCAGTCATGAAAACAGTTGAAAGTATGAAATGTTTTCTATTAATTGTATATAGAGTAAAGAAGTAGTTTTGAACTGTTGACTTATCACGTAAAGTGGTTACCAACGGCAACCAGTCCTAAAATTAATTACAGGTCACTTGAAAATTATCAAGAATACTGCGTTTTAGACATTCTTTATCAAGTTTCACACGTATCTTAAAACGTGATTTGTGATATGTATGTGAATAGCATAAAGGAAGTTAAACAAAAAGCAGATAGTTAGTAAGCAACAGCAAAGACTGAATTCGCTATTGAACACTATATCGATTCTTTTTCAGTCAGATCAAGTGGTTGAATAGATTTCAGTAGTAATTGAGAATTGTGAATGTGATTTTCATTTTTCTACCGAGTCTCAGTAATTCACTTCAAGGTAAACCATATTACTTTCGATGAACGTATGAAATGAGTTTAGTTCGATTACTGCTGAAGACAACAACTTTACTTTACCATTAAACAGTCACTTTAAATAATATATATATATATATATAGTATAAAACGTTCTGTAAAACAGTACATGCATCATAAGGGATTTAAATGCGTAAATGGACCTGAGTCACTTAGGATTTGCAGTTCTATTACTAACGAGTGTTGATAAATGCAGTCTTATGGACAGCTTTTTCAACTTATTTGTATTTTTATTGTTTGCTTACATATACGAATCACTTCATACACATATAAGGTCATTGATACATTAAAGAAGGTAGCCGAATCATCTACTGCAGTTGTATGTTTAGATATATTGTATAGTTTATGTGGAAAACTTACACTTTCACAGATAAAAAATTCCTATGAAGTTTCTCTGAAACGCACAATCGGAAGTAAAGTGTTAACATGCGTATCACATGATATTATGTGATAGGTATAATTCCCATGAGTTGAAAAATTCAGCTATTTTAGGTGCAGTCAACCACAAAGGACAGCAACACCTTTCTCGTCTTTGGCAAGCCAATATACTGAAATAATGATAAAATTAGTTACCACATACTTATACCAATCGATAGTTTATACTGCGTAAAATGAGATATTAATAATAATTATTATAATAACAATACATTATTAGACATTCAACCAACCTCTAGTTCATCATCGTCTCCTTGCTCATCACTTTCACCATTAGAAGATGAAACAAGCTGCATATCTTTTAAGTCCAATGATGAATGACTATCTAATGAACCAAGACGATAGAATGTAGCTGGACATTTCACTTCTACGCCAGACATTTGGTCAAGCCATAGTTTCAAATTTTCATCTAAGTATTGCAAAACTATCATTGTCAGATCACTTTGTAAAAATTCGTGCCAAAGTGTAAACAATGGTTTCACCATATCTCTGACAAACCCTGTCAAAATGTTTGTTTTTTGTCGATAAAAAAGTAAACAAAACAAAACTGGTCTTACTACAAAAAATGACATTTATTCAAATGGTGGTATGCATAATTTGTTTTCACCTGGAAAACTTAAACAAAAAGAATTTCGATGTAATATTACTAGTATTATTGTAACGCTAGAAGCCAAGAGAATTGGTGACGGAATTATTTACTGCAACTCGACACACTCAGATAAAAGTAAAATACGCCTACTATGTATTAGAATCACAATCTGCATACATCTTCGGTATCGTTCTGCTTTGTCTTTTGTATTTCTCTTCTGTGTACTACTTTCATATTCCCCATGTCATTTCGCAAACATCCTTCATTAGGTCCATCTCTCCAGGCATTCGATATTCTTGACACTATGTATATACTACCTATAAATCATGTCAGGAACACTCGTCACATTATCACTATGATTATTTCACAGATTCTTAAATTAAACTTTAAGCATTAACTAAAGGCAACTAAGAGACTAAAACTATTTGAAAAGTTAAAAAGTTTTCAAATTCCATATTCATTATTAATATTAGAAAGTTCAATAGTTGTGAAAGATGGAAGAAGGAATGTGGAAAACCCGAATCACCAATACCACCTTAAGAAATTACTTACAGGAGGCAGAAACCAAAAAGTCTTCATTAAGTCAGTAATTTTTTTTAAAAACCCAGAAAATGAATAATAAGAATGATAATTTAATAGAAGTGGAGTAAAAACTCAATCCGGTCAGCTTATGAATAAAAAGGCTTATCACGTTTAAAACTCATAATAATCCCGATATCCTGTATGCATGCAATTTTAACATTTTTACAACCAATCCAATTTAAGGTAAGTGGCAGATGGTGAGAAAATAGAATTAAATCAGATTATTATTTCAAAAAAAATACAAAATTTGGTGTTACAACTTAATTCAGGAACATTTTAGTATCCTTCTAATATATCTGTAGAGCTTAGGCACTGTAATAGCATGTAACAATTCCCCATATATTTTGTTTATTGGTCATATTACACAGTCAAACAGTATTACTTACTGGATGATGTGACAGTATGGAGGGGGAAATCGATAACTGAAGTTTTAATTACCGAATCAAACGAAAACACGTGCAATAGGAATGACTCAACATCTACCCCAGACATGTGGAAAAATAGACTACCCTTATGACGACTGGAAGGGAAGCAGGAGAACTACAAAAACCAAGTTTCGAAATTGTGTAAATACAACTGATATGATTATGAGCTATAAGTTGTTTTCAAAATGTCATCCAGGAAATAATACTGTTTCACAGTGTGATATATCCAGTAGACAAATTTTAGTATCAATCTCAAACAGATGAATGTTTAGAAGTCGACAAATATAATTCTTTCTACACCTTGAAACAGTTTGTTACCAGTGTTCACACTAATATTAAAATATATGCATTGCAATTTATCCACTATTCATCAAGAGAATAACCCATTATGATGAGTGCTAATGGTAGCATTTCTCATCTACAGCTCAAACCATGACGAAATATCAGTAAATTTACGAGTAAAAAGCTAATGTAAGCTTTCCCTTACATAAAAGCTTCGCTCATGCATATGCAGTGGTGACTTTGATAGCTTTGAGAACAAAAATGTGAAACAAAAGAACAAATCACTCAGTGAAGTTGTGAAAAACCATATAAATTCACGCAAGGTAGCAATTTCAGGTAAGACAGAATTAGGCTATATGAAAAAAAAAAGAGTGAGTAGACCGAGATATGCCAGTCAATGACTCTTGATTCAAGTTATGCAAGGGAATGTAAATTTATTTGCTGAAGTTCGCATTGTAAGTGTAAGGTTGTAATTATGCTAGCCACTGAAGCGTACTGCCGCAGTGTTTATTTAGCACATGATCTAATTTGACAAGTCTTCCGTGTTAGGCAGGTTTTCCATGTAGTAGAGTGATACAGTAGTAGTAATAATAATAACAGTCACACTGAGATATTTTCCTTTTTTTAACAGCATTATCAACTTGCTCGATATGGAATTATAATTTATCACAGTGATGACGTTCTGCTCTTACATTAAACAATAATCACGCTTTAGGAAATGTCTTCAATGAGCATACCTGATTGAGTAAGCTAAATCAGTTCATAAACATAAACTAATGAAATGACAGAATTAAAAATTCAGGAAGGCGGTGAAAAATCTAAACGAGAAAAACAAGATAAATTACTTCAATCAGTCGACTTATTAAGTGTATGTATGAAGTATTCATCTCATGCTTTAACAGCATTCATAACACTGAGACAACTGACTGGTAGTTACACTAAATACGAAAGCAACAAAACAAAAACTATATCAAGCGTTTACAGTGATCCACTTGAAGCAACTACCGTTGCTGTACTCAATCATGTCAACATAAAAAGGCTGAAAGACTTTTTGCTGTTATGCGTGAGAAATGTGTAGTTTTTATTTTTAAATTAATGGCTCGTATTATCATCGGACAGGAGATCTGACCATGAGAATAACTGCAAATATATTTCTGTCTAACTGAGAGAATATCAAACTAAGTATTGGGAAAGAAGAGAAATTGTATTAAAGATATGAGTAGAATACGTTTGGCATGTGTAAGAGTGAAAATCACCTGAAGAGTCAACCTATTTTGTACAATCCCCCAAAACAAAATGTAATAGTAAACATGGATATGCGATGTTGTATGGAGTAATTTATTGAACACTACAACAAACGAAGATGCTTCGATCTTATACAGAGTTTATCCTGGGCTTCCATAAAGGGGACTGTTTATTGAAAAAGAAGTTTACATGGATGAGAAGACTATACTCTAAAGAGTTAATCAACGTCATTTTGATAATCAGATTTTGTTATTAAGGCGTGGACCACTCCTTATCTCAGTGAAATATTTTCTACTACACCGTCTGTTTGAAGGACAATAAGAGTAAACAAGAGTAAACCAGTGCATCGACCAAACTTGCACTGATTAGTCAACTTACATGCGGTTTTCGCCTAGCCCTAAATGTCACCATATTCCCAGTTCACCTTATTAAATATTCGTGCAGACTATTAATTAGTGCATAATATATTAAATGAATAAGAAAGGTATTTTCAGATATCTGATGAGTCATCCACGATCTGGGCTGACAGCATACGATATATAGAGAGAGGTTAAGCAAATAAATCACAATAAATGTATCCAAATACTAGTGTACTCATATAATCCTATGTTTTTGAATGACCAAGCAATATTTCTTACACCATCAAACATTTATTTATCAGGTACTCAAGGTCATTATCAAAAATGTGTCCAAATTCTAGTTCACTAATAATCCCGTTTGTGTATGGCTTAGCATCATGCTTTTATACTGTTAAACTTCAAATAGCTTCATCGGTTAAACAACCTAACGCTATAATATTTAGGTGTATTTATCACATGCTACGTAAGACAGGCAAATTTGATACAGCACACAAAGAAAACATTATCTTTAATAAAAGCACCCTGGTACTGACAAGTAGGGTGTCAACAAAATTCCTACTTAACAAATGTCATGAGGAGTTGAATATGTCTTCATTTACTATCAACAATCTATGAAAATGTTATGCGAAATAAGTGGTTATGGACAAGCTAAAAATTAATTATCGAAAGATCTACATTTAGAAAGTCTTCATGGACATACCTACATTTCAAGAGCTTTGTTCCAATCCAGTATAAAAAGAACTTAGTCAGAACACTGTTCAACAAAGCACGGAAAATTTCTTCTGACAGTACAATTGAGCATGAAATAAAGGCTCTGAAGGATATTTCATCTAAAAGTGGATATCCTGAGAAGTTCATGAATAAATATTCTAAAAAAACGAACTACTGCAAAACTATCCAAACAGTTCGGAAGAAATACGTCTATGTCAATTTACCATTCAAAGGAGGTCATGTACAAAACTCAATTAAGCTAACAAGAGAACTTATGATGATGCAAAACTTGTCTTCCTTAACACCACCAAGCGAGTGCTACAACAATCTGGGAAAGGCCAGTCGCCAATCCTCGACACTTAAAACTGCGTATATCAATTTGAGTGTGTTTGTGGAAGCAAATATATAGGTCGTGTACATTGTCAAAGTGGTTGAAAATTCCAAGTGCCAAAAAGTTTAATAACAAAACATCTTGTGCACTACGGACATGATATCAACGCGGTCAAGTCATTCACTGTCATTAGCAGACACAGAAACAGGAAGATGGTTGCAAGTGCTGGGGCTTGTGCAATTCGAGTTTATAAACCAGGTCTCTGTGTACAAAAGGAAATGGTCGTCACTCTGAATCTACCATGGCAATACGTTTTACTTATTAACTGTTATTACTATTAATATTACTTATTAATATTAATGCTACTACTATTACTATTAATATTATGAACACTTTATTCTACCTCTTATTATTATTCTTGATTCACTTAAAATTATCTTTTATCAGTAGCATTATCTTAACTCGTTTCAGCGTTATTATTACAAGCATTACTATTTATATTACTCAGTTCGCAATTCTTGATATGTTTAAGTTCTTTCTCTGATGACTAATTGTTTATCTAAGTGATGTAATTGAAGCGTAATGCATTTTATCTTAATTTTAATCTCTCATACTCCCTTCCCCCTATCTATCTGGACATGACCTGAAAAAACATTCACACGTGTCGTTTTGCATGATTAATTCAATGTAGTTTATTTGCTTATCAATTTTATGTCTCCCAATGTATTTCCAATAGTACATTTTTATATATATCCCTGTATGTAGAGTATTCAGGTGAAGAGTTCTACCGAAATTTGATGAAATCATTAAATCCTGCTTTATTAACCTTTGTTGCATGTTTTAATTTCTATTCTGTGACAGAGTTTGAAAGAGAACTAGTATCTTTGGTTGCCTTATTCTTGCAGTTAGTTCTATAAGGTATTTTTCGCCCTTTAATTATTGTTTCGCATCCCAGAATTCAGAAGTTCCGATTTCACTTTTCTGCCCTAAATAGCTTTCATTGACTATGTAGCCTAGTTATTCACATGTTTGAATGTATGGGTTGTAAGTGTTTTTACAGCGATCGGATTATTCACATCTTATAGTAATTATTGTGTTCTTTTCAGTTAGATAGCTCAAGCGTGAATGTAAATGTCAAGTGACGAAAACATTTGATTGTCATCATGTGAAAGTGAAAAGATTATAAATGAAGAATTCAGTCAACCATTTGATGTAAGCAGAATGAAAGTAACATCTTCCATTACACCAAAAGCCTCACTTTGTTACATAAAGTGAATACTTGTCTTATAAAAAAAAAACTTTACTCACCGATTTGTAATCGCTGTATAGTGAATTTAGTTCGATCCATAACTGGTATAGGTTGTAGTGACCATTGATAGCGTTCTCTATCACCCTGACAGAACAACTCAGTGCAAACACGTTTTGCCCATTCTTCACATATTGGCCAATTGCGACATGGATTACTTATATCGGCACATTTTAAAGCCATCTACATTACAGTATTTGAAAGGAAAATGTGATCAAAATATGATCCCGTTAAGCTGATGGTTTAATTTCTCCTAAAAAGTCATATGAATAAAGAAAGACACTGAACCATACAGGTTGAAAATTGTTACTTCCAAATCTAGTGAAATCCAGATTTTCATTCCAGCTTAGACTATCAGCATATTTTTCACCTATAACGTAGTAATAATTTTCTAAAAAACAGGTTTATGCACTCTAGATATTTCCAAGAGTCTTATTTCTAGTAAATTTTCTTCTAATTGTTAGATTTATTCCCAAACCGACATCAGTCAGAGCAGTCATTTAAAACCAGGGAGCACTGGACAGCTGTCTCGTCCTGTTTTGGGATTCTTCATTAGTGAGCACCCGGAACCTCACCAGAGATCAAACTCTTGACATCCAGGTTACCAGTCTGACTGATGTAAACGCGTGAGAAAATCTAACAAGTAAAACTAATCCAAATATTCCCAAATTCCATGATCTAAATATTTTTTTAATGAAATAATATTTAAATTACTTTTAGTTGACCGGTTATCGATAGAAACTAGAAAAAATTGCTGACGGCATCTAGCATGTTACTAGGCTATTCCAATATCAATAATTTTAATGGCATTATCCCAATGCACCGTCGTAGATCAGCAACATGTGAGACACCGTCAGTCCTCTGACAAATACTTGTGTGTTATCTAGGATTAGTTCTTACTATCAAATAATCCCTATCACTTTATAGTTCTGTCCTGCAAAAATAGACAGCTTGCCAATCCATTTGTTATATTTGACGTTGATGGATGGAACAGAACACTCACTGAATTTAATTCAATTACAATTTACAACGAAACAAATTTAAATGCAGTGATATATAAAATCACCACTTGCCAGCTAAATCAAACAACTTGACTGATACATCCAAATCAGGTACTGCCTCTGGAACTATCAGATTTTGTGGCGCATACATTATCTCTTGACAAATCACTATGAACCAAGTAGTCAGTGAACAGTTTGTAATTAAGCACATCCTCAGTATCACTTGACTAATACAGTCAATCAAGTTTAATTCCTAAGCAGTCAACATTGACGCTTGATTGCTGCTACTCACTATGGTCGGTTGACAATAGTTGAACAATATGAGACATAGGGCTTCAACCAATGGTTTGAATTTTCTTGTATTCGCCATGTAGCAGAACGGTTAAGAATTCTACTCATGGCTAAGTAATGGGTTCACATTTGTGAAGCGTTCCAGACTAAGAAGAAATAGTAGTTATCTTAAGCGACTTGTTTCGCAATGACAGTTTAACTAATGTGGATACTTAGCGAGAATTACTTTCATATGTATTAGCTGTCAACGAACATTCCAACTGCAAGTTACAATAAACACAAGTCTTAAAAACTGAGCTTCTTTAACTGACCGAAAAATGTACTCAGCTCCTCAATTATATACATTGGTAACAATCTAATGATAATGGATATTACTACCCTGAACATAATTCAAAACAAGACACCCTGTAGATAAAAACTGAGGATAAGTGTCACTTCAGATTGTTTCTGAATTACCAGAATAGATACATACCTGCATAAGTAGAATTCTTTCAGACTGAGTAAATGGTCCTGATTTATTAACTGTACAAGATTTGGTTAACTCCTATAAATATGAAACAATTTTAACTTTAGTTCATACAAACACAAATGAGAGAATACAATTTTATTTTATGATATAATATTTATCCAAAAAGTTAAGTATTCATAACAAATGTACGGATGAAACACAAATTGTAATGTCTGTGAGTGGGTAAAAGATGAATATTCAAATCAGAAATGTAAGCAATTGATTATATTGTGATACAATGATGTCCTGTGGATTAAGAGTTCTCCCGTTTATCTGTTATCATTTCAGATTTATTTACAGTTACTAGGGTAAACACCTAACTACTCATTCAATAGTGTTCACAAATAAAAGCAGAAATAACTCATTTAAAACAATGCGCTATTGAACAATAGGATGTAAAATCGTGATACCACCGAAAAGAAACAATAAACTAGATGCAAGTAATGTGAGTGGCATTTGGCGATAACAAAATTAGTTTTTGTGATAATATCTACAACAGGAAACCTGAATCATCTTGTGCATTGCAAAATTATCCAGTGAGTCTCTACAGTCACTCTGCAGTCAACCGAGAAGAATACTGGTTGATATCCTCATTGGAATGAGAAAATCATCTTTGTCAGCATATATGACGATGTTGAATGCTCATGGTTCCTATTTCATCCAAGTGTTAAAAAAATTAAAGATGAGACCAGGTCAATATCTAACTCTTGGAGCTTATGTGGTGCATCATCGAGGTTGTTAATTTGGAGACAGATACCTCAATTCAGCCGAAAATAAACATTTGAATCTAAGGATATATCAAAGGCTTAGAGAATACGAAAACGGTTTAGCAGACTTTTTTCAATTATTTTCAACATAACGTCGAGAAACAGAATTATTTCACAAAATGATGTTTGACTGGAAGTTACACAATCATTTAGTTTGCATTACATTTACCTTTTGCTCCTTTTTTGAATCGCTTTTTTACCTGACGTTTAGTTGTCACTGTTACATGTTAACGAAAACATCAAAACTTTATTGTAAGTAGATTATTTCAAAGATGAAAAATTACAATAATCCTAAACTTGAATTATTTAGAGGGCATGTGTTTATAGAAATCAGTTTCGCTTGAACTTAGAGATTGATGATAACCAGTATATAATTATTTGCTTTTAAGTAGGTAGAACGAAATATGTCTATCAGGTGTGAGATTGAGTCAGTAACATTATATTACTGAGCACCTTTATGTTCTTTAATTTAAAATCATTTGTCTGAAGTCTACTGACAGAAAACTCTGAGTTTAGATTTCTTGCTTATTCAACAGTCAACAGCAATCAATAAATACCTAAAGTCATTGATAAAATACATTATTTCCTTAGGAATGGGAACCTGATTCAATCAGTGTCAAAATCACAGATTTCAACGTTAAGATAAATTCTAAACTTATGTGCTTGATCAAACAAAAAACAACCAGTTACTGAAAACATAAGTATGAATAATAAAAACCCACAATTTTCTTTAAAAAAAAGTTCAAATGAGTGATATTTCAATGAGTTAGAATAAAAGTACTGAAATTTACGAAGAAGAAAACAACGAAAACGAAATAAACTACTCAAACGAAACTTTAGTTTTCTCACAGAATTATATATATGTATATTTAAGAGAAGATTTGAAGAAGACAGATAAACGAACAAGGTCTGATCATTTGTATCTGCTTTTAAATCATTTATTTCATCATATGAGAAATCATTCTGCTTACAGAAAGAATATTTACACTCAAAAATTCATAACGGTTAAATTCTTGTATCTTCACATAGAAATGACCGTTAAACATATATATATGTATATATAATGGTCATCTGATATGAATACACATTATAGAAACTAATTCAACAGAAGGCTTTATTGTCATGATCAAATGTAATTCCATTTGTATCCAATCAACCTAATTGAATGATGCACAACAGAGTAATTATAATCTCAAATAACAGTAGTTAGGCTCTTTTGATATTTATTTATGCACTTTACGGTAACAGATTTTTCAACACCATAGTCACTACTTACTACAAAGTAAGGCATAATCACGACTTGCACTCATTTTTTCTCTCTGGATTTCATCTGATTTTAGTCGACAAAAGGGTTTCAACCACACCGATTTTCTGACTATAATTCTCCTTTGTGTAGACTAGAAACAGTCTTTGTAGTGGTGTAGAAGTTGTTTTCATCATCAAGTCTGGTGATAAATAGTTTCTATATCGAATAGTAACATTTGGAGAATGCCGAGGAATTTCCTGTCAGTTGCAATATTTGACGACTTGAATAAAACTATAACAGTAGTAATCACAGTTGACGTCATAAGAGCCATGCTGTTAACCTCCTCCCTCCCCTCCTGTTTCGCAATGGAAACATTCTCGTCCACTGAAATAAGCATAAGTCTAGAATGCCTACTCCATGTATAAAACAGCTTATTTTTAGACTTAGTTGTGATACAATAACAACATTTGTTATTCTGTTACAAATCTCATTCTTTGAATATTAATATAAAAATGTATGTTATGAATTCCTTTATTAGACACAGTCAAAATAAGCATGTTTCTTAGTTTACAACTTCTAGTAATATTTTTTCTAAATGTCAACAATCAAGGGATATAATGAAAACATTCAGAGTGAAGTTAATAATTGCATAAATTACCGCAAATTGTTTTCGATATACTCCTTGATATGAGATATCAGTAGCCAGAATTACTTGCACAAAACAGTCTCGAAAAGTTTTCCTATCAATAAATATTTTGTTTGTAAAAAGAAAGAAGATAAAGCAAAGTACAAAACAGTGAAATAGAACGATATAGAATAATTCAGTTAAGTTCAAATATTTCAGAAACTACCTTCTATTTGCTGCTGCATAATTTTAAATATTTTGTGGATGCAACAACCCATTTTTTACACACGGATAAGCGCATACCAGGTACTGATATTCATTCATACCATAGCCTACTACGTGTAACTGTTCGTGACTGTTGTTAACTGAACACTACGGACATTATATTGTAAACAAACAAAGACAAATGACACTAGTTAAAAAAAGACGTGGATTTCTGGTTTAAACACTCTAGTGAATAGCAGGTGTGTGGAACTGCGATTACTGGATTGCAATTTATTAATCACATAACTGTACAGCCAATTAAGAATTATCAGACAGGATGAAACTTGGACCCTGAAGTCTATTGGTTAACACACACCACCGTGAGATTGTACTCGGCTTGTACTAAATATTAAAAGTTCAACATTACCATTATCAATTTCAGTATGTTATTCAGCAAACGAACAAGGCAATTAAATGAATGTAAATAGAATTTGGATGCAGTGGTTTGTTATTCTATTTGGTAAAATGAAATGATGCTATATCATACTTTATCAAATAAAATCAAATATTATAGAATTATTAAATCCTTTAGAAACAACAGAATATAATATTACCGATATATGCTTTGTTCTGTGTACGTGTGAAGCATACTTAAAGAGATTCAAATCATGCTGAAGATTAAGTGGTACGTGATTACTGTTATAGTTCTCATTATTGAACTTATTCTGAAAAAAGGTGTATGGTAGACCATTATTTCTAACATTTATTTATTGAAATACAATGACAGCAATATTGTTATATAAAGCCATTAAAACAACAAGAAAGTCGTAGAAGGACACAGATTGACAGAAATTTATGATCTCAGTTTATAACAATTAGGACGCTGAATGGAAACCGAATTGAAACAGATTAGTTGGATATCTAACAACGACATGGTGAGTATCATGTGAATAGGAGGTAAGAGCTTGAAAGTAGTTGGACAGCTAGCTAAAAGTGATGGTAGAGAACTGAATACATTTGAGATGTGCTGCTACAGCCCATTAGGAACTCAAGGAATGAGTAATAATATTTATAACAATCACATAAATTAATCATGTCAGTAAAATTTTAAAAAACTATTTATTAACTTGGTAAAAATAAGAATCTATGAAAAAATCGAAGTAAACAAAAATGATGAACAATACATCCACATTTCGTGCCAAGTGGAACTCTCCAGGATGACTGGCTGACTCTAACTATCTGACGTCAGCTCATAATGCACCACGATGGCAAGTCTATTAACTTGGTGTTATTGTGGCGAATGCTACTGACAATATTTTGTAAGTAGAATACTGTATGTGATGTATTTTACAACGATATCGAAAAGCCGAGGAATGGATTAGATGACGAAGACGAGAAACGAAAGATCCTTGTGAAACAAATTCGAAAACATGAGAGGAAGCCGAGAGAAGCACAGTACGGAGAACATGTGTAAATGGTGACTTTAATACTATATATATATATATATATCGCCATACTAGCACACCAGTTCACCAACAAATAATTACGCTACCGAATACTACTGTGTCATGCAGTCACAACGTCACTGCAAAACCTAACAGACAGAAGTCGGTTAACATCAATAGCTAGATGGTATGACAGTGGTGTTATATCAAGTGACTAAGTCACATAAAATTTAGAAAAAAACGATTAAATGTGCAAATGTATTAACCTGACCGTATAGACTCAATTGAATATAGAATAAAGAGTAAATTGATTTTAGTTAACATACACTGACGACACTAATTTTGTGTTATCTCGAAAGCTTCTATTCTAACATTGATAATATCTGACACAGGGGCAAATAGAAACATAACTTTATGTATACGTAATATTTATTATATACTTTCAATCGTTCTAATCCTTGTGCTAACTTAATTTATTTGTAATCGAGAAAATCTGAATGACGTGAAAGTGACTCTTTAACCATGGACAAATGTTAACTGGGTGGCTAATTTAGGTGAGGAAAGCAGTACTAGACAAACTAGTTCCAAACTAGTTCAAGTACACGATGAAAACTAGTGTATTTAGGTGTTCTTGTATTATATGATGTCTAATGGTTTGAATTACATATCTGTAATGAACTAATTATCTACTAATATTAACTACCATAAAATCTAATCACTATTCATCTGTGGTTTGTAAGCACATTCTAATCTATAAAAACAAACGCAAATTTGGAGACATGAATGATTAGTGTGTATCATGGAAACAGATATAGTGATTACTGCCAGTTGGTCCATTTTCTCCAGCAATATACTTCAGAATAGCAGCGTCCTATCATTTAGCTTAATGACAGAAGTGCACATCCAATGCATAGACTTAGGTCAAAATGAAGGACTAGACAGATGAATTAGTTAACATTTGATGACAGATTTATATACAAAACCATGCCCTAAAAAAGTATAGTAATGACTTTAATAATCCATTAATAAAAAGCACAGTGTTGACGAACCGCATTTTAGAACAAAACAGTTATCTGATGCTTATTGGATTTTGAGAGGAGACTGGCTCATGGTGAAAAATATTATTATAACAAAATAAACTGTTCTATATTACAGTAAGATGGAGACTTAAATAGCTCAGGGATAATTTTCCTGGTATTACCACTACTTGAAGCAAGTGAACATGCAACTTCTAGGTGTAGGCGCCTGATTCTGAACCGAAATGTGAAAGGAGAGAACACAGCCCCAACTACTGTGGTTTCAGCAGCTAGAGAGTATCATCAGCCTCCAATTACTAATAGTGACGCGATCTCAGCTGAATGTAAGAGCAAAGATCGTCTAGTCAATTCACTAGCTTGAATTCGAAATATCATTTTCTCTCTACAATGATTAGAATTAACATCACACTACATAATAAAATTGAAATGATTCACGGTAGACTACGTTGCTTATATTCAACTGAAGAAATAATAAAATGGTTCGAAATAAATATATCCACATTGTTTTTAGGTAACAAGTAGTAACATAGCAACCAGAAGCACACCACTTAGTACTAATTGTCTATCTGTTTTGTCAATCTTTAAATTTTATCATTTATAATTTGAAAAATCATCCACACATTACTGTTCTATTTACTTTTCTGATTAGTCATTTTATCCATTTTCTACTCATTTTTGTCATACGGTTTTCCGCTTATTGAAAAAGTAAACAGGTATAAACTTCTTATTTTGAAATATGGACTATGTACAACATCAGTGAATCTTACAGATATCTATAATAGAATCTTTAGTAACACTTTTGTGCTGTAGAGTCATCAATAGGACTGATTAATTTCTTATTCTACTTGAGGTTATCTTTACAACACTTGATCTTAGACTTCCTAAGAGGTTACGTGTAACCTCATCAACGACTCATTATTTTCAAGTGTTTATTTGTAGGGATTTGGTTGGTTACAGGATTTTCATTCCAAGTCCACTTCCTTATTTCCGCTTTCATCGAAAGAAGACACATTGACTGACTGGCTTCCCGAAGGCTTTCAGCAACCCACAAAAATTGAAAAGGACACCTAGGTAACGTAGAAAAACTCAAATTAACAGCGTTTGCATAGCGGGTGTAGAGTGAATGTTGAACACATTTTAATCGTGAATAATTCCCATTCGGACATTAGTAGACAAAAGACAAGTAGAGACAAGACAAGAGACTCTTTGCTGATCTACTTGTCTTTTGTCTACATTTTAATCGAACATGCAATATTTTTTAAGTCACATGGGTGCACATGTAGAGGTATGATTTCGATAATTGCACACTAACTAATTTTATATGATGCAACAATTTACAGATGTAAAGTTGTTTGCAGTCATAGTCTTTGTATTAGGGTTTTGCAGTAGTCTTATAGGGTATCCTTAAATTATCCTAACCAATTTACAATTAAGCACTGGTCATTCAGCGTTTATGGATTTATAAATGAAAATAATGAGTCACAGGATTTTCATCATGAGCTGACATTAGTTAGAGAACCATTGGAAAAGCTGGGAGTACTGGACAGCTGTTTCGTCCTAGTTTGTGACTCTTCATCAGTACGCACCCACCGGGATTAAAACCCAGGACCTTCTGGTTACAATTTTTTTTATTTTTTTATTTTGATTTACAGCTTGATTCCACACCGTATTTTCAGTACAACTGTGGAATTTTCAGCATGGATATCGGTAGCCCAAATTTTGCAGGCCGACCATAGATATCGGGTGTGCGCCGGCAGGGGATCGAACCCCGGACCATGTGCATGGTCGGTGAGAGTCCTAACCACTGTGCCACCGACGCACGTATACCATTAAGCCACTGGGACCCGATCCAATGGCCCATGAATTCTAACTTCTACCAATTCACGACATAGCGCGACCCCTAGCCAATGTCTTCGGCGAGTATTTGTCCTCACACCCGACCTGCTGCACCAGTGGCTTAATGATATACGAGCTCGCCTTGTAACCAGAAGGTGCTGGGTTCGAATCCCGGGGGTGCGTACTGATGAAGAGTCACAAACTAGGACGAAACAGCTGTCCAGTACTCCCAGCTTTTCCAATGGTTCTCTAACTAATGTCAGCTCATGATGAAAATCCTGTGACTCATTATTTTCATTTATAAATCCATAAACGCTGAATAACCAGCGCTTAATTGTAAATTGGTTAGGATAATTTAAGGATACCCTATAAGACTACTGCAAAACCCTAATACAAAGACTATGACTGCAAACAACTTTACATCTGTAAATTGTTGCATCATATAAAATTAGTTAGTGTGCAATTATCGAAATCATACCTCTACATGTGCACCCATGTGACTTAAAAAATATTACATGTTCGATTAAAATGTCGATTAAAATGTGTTCAACATTCACTCTGCACCCGTAATACAAACGCTGTTAATTTGAGTTTTTCTACGTTATCTAGGTGTTCTTTTCAATTTTTGTGGGTTGCTGAAAGCCTTCGAGAAGCCAGTAAGTCAATGTGTCTTCTTTCGATGAAAGCGGAAATAAGGAAGTGGACTTGGAATGTTCGCACAATGTTCGAAGCTGGGAAGGCTGCCCAAGTTGCCGAAGAAATCAGACAATATGGCATAGAAGTGCTAGGAATCTGCGGAAGTAAGTGGAATGGATGTGGACACTCCAAATTGTTAACTCGAGAGTCAATAACCTACTCCGGTCACCCAGACCACAACCACCAGCACAGTGAGGGAGTGACTATCCTGATTTCACCAACGGCATCCATGATAATGACAGCAAGATCTAACTCAAAAGGAAGAAGAGTTTTAATTATCCGATGCGACGGTCCTGCAAACAAAGCAAATCAACAGAAGAAGAAAGATTTTTATAGACAACTACAAAGAGTAATGGACGACATTCCAAATGGCGACATTAAAATCCTGATTGGCGGTATGAATGCCAAACTGAGAGCAGACAGTACAAGAAGAGAATTCATAATGGGTCGAGAAGCTTCGGGCGAAATGATTGGGAATGGAAAAATATCCTCGGACTTCTGTGACTTCGATGATTTGGTGATTGGAAATAGTCTGTACAAATGTGTATACAAGGCGACAAGGATGTCAAAACCAGAATCGGAGAAGCAAAACAGGTCTTCATCACTATGAAATCAGTGCAGAAATCTTCTGCAACCAGCGCAAGAAAAATTCAGATTTTCAACACCAATGTCACGTCAGTCATTGCTTCTATATGGGTCAGAAACTTGAAGCGTCACGAAAAGCGTTTCTAACAGGCTATGGAAGACTTTTATCTACAGCTGCCTTCGTTCCATACAAGAGATCAGATGGCCAGCCGGAACGGATAAGCAACAAGAAACTCTAGGAACATATTATTCAAAAACCTATTGTCCGACAAATATTTCGAAGGAAGTGTAGATGGATCAGAAACACACTAAGGAGACAGTTGAGTGACTTCGGGCGCTAGTCCCTCAGGTGGACTTCGAATAGATAACCACGAGTTGAGCGTATGAAGGTCACATTGAGAATACCGTGCGACATGAGAGACTATGGGCAATCGTGGGGCCAGCCTAAGAGGACTGCAGAGAATAGGATAAAGTGGTGATGTGCTGTTGACGCCTTATGTTTCACTTGGAACCCAAGGGAATAATAATATTATAATAATCTTTTATTGGATACAACTTACCAATCTTCCTGTTCCAAACACTCGGAAAGTCCACTTTCTCTGAGAGCGCACAAACCAACTTTAATATGGTGTTTTTCCAGCACTGACACAGACTAAACAGATGAAATAACAAACATTATATATATATATATAATTACTGTTTATATTATTAAGGTTTATCGCAAATAGATGACTGATATAGCGTGAAATAATGTTTCAGTAGATTTTAAAAAAAACTATGCTGCATAACATAAAAGTTAAAGTCTCAGAAGACAAAATAAGTAAAGAAGAAAGTAAAAATTTATACTGAAAAAATGTTTTGCAAACCATTGGGCACATGAGAAGGCTTTGTCTTAGAAGAGATAATACCAAAAAACTTTGATAGCTACACTTACACCTAGACTGATAAAAAGGCATGTCAAAATAGGATCGCAAAAGAAATCGTTAAAACTCGGTGTTGCTTACAATAGAAAAAAAATAATATAAGTCATGGAAAATGGAAAGGGATTATATGAGTGTTTTGAATCTTTTTAGAAGATCACAGTCAATTAGCCTACACTACCAAACACATCTTAGGTCAATAGTAATTTGACTTCATATAATGATATTTTCAAATGTGAATATTTCGCTTTCGACTACACGATCATAAGTTACCCTTATAACCGATACTTTTCATCTATTCTGGGACAATGAATATGCAGTTGGATACTTAGTTTCTAGCTCCTGGTTTTTCTCAGGCATATAAAGACGGAAGTAAAATAATGAATACTTTCACGATGACGTATTTCAATGTAATTTGTGGGGAGCAGCACATGATAGCACTGAATTCTAAACATTGCTTCTGATCTTCTTTAATTCAATTTGCAGATCCCCACTGACTGACAGGACCAAAGTGTTCGGCATTCAGTTAACGAGACCCGAACAGGGTGAAACGAGCATCCTAGATTCCACTGCTAGTCACCAACCACCGAAATTATTCCTTCACATCTTTAGCAAAAGGTCGACGTCGATATTACTAGGTATAGGATAGGACAAGTGACTCATCAGCACAAAATCTCATCTGGTTGGCCAATGCGTCTTAGATACTAATGGTACTAAACAAAGTATTTTTCAAAATTATTTTCACTATAACCTCAGTTCGTAGTGTTATTACTTTACAAATAAGTAATATGCACTTTGTGTTTAATAAAATAATTATTTTCTTATTAATCCTTATTACTTTCCGCTCTAATGAATTTTTATTTACCCCAATTAATTTTAATAATTTGTAGGTAATTATTTACCCTGGTAATAAGGTTAAACGTGTTCTAATTGGAATAATTGAGTCTACTGGTTTTTCCTCAATTGAAAACATAAATGCGTCACAAAAATGTTTGAACAACCCGACTCACAATTTCATTTTTTTTGTTGTTGCTATGATTAAGATCAATGACTAGGAATATAACAATTAACTAACTGGTCTATCAGCGTAGAATATGAAACACTAGTGTAACTAACAGAAATGACACAGAATAGAAAAACAAAAAATAGATACACAAATTTAAAGAGAAATAAAATATAAGCAAAAAATGGGGGATAACGAAACTAAGGGGAATGAAAATGAATAGACGCCCTCTATTGCGATGAACAATTTTGATATAGAAAATATCCCCATTTGGACATTTGGAAAACAGAAAGATTGAGCGAAGAAATATTTACTTTTCAATTAGATCCTCATCTCTGGCTCTACTCTAATATATATAGCATTTTTTACAATACACAACAATTTACCAAACAAGTGGTGATATGTTTGTTAACAATAATTAAACAGTGTCAAAATGTCAATGGGTTGACAACAACTTTTAGCAATGATTTACTCCCCAACATTCCGATTACGCTATTCAGGTAACCTGTATACTTTTACAAGACAAGTTGGTACGACACTAAAACCACACCAGTATACTTAGTCAAAAAGTTGTAAGATCAGTTTATATTACATTTAGAAAAGAAAAACGGTTATAAACCCACAGTGTAGTGAGCAAGCAAGTTTACGTCATTCACTTTTAACTTCATACTCTATTGACAATAGCAATACATTGAAGTGAGTAGTTCCATAGTGACATATTATGTGATCTATGTCATTGCTAGTACTTGTAAAAAGAAGAAAAGGAATGAGTCATCTCCATAAGAATGCGTTTAAAAATTTCTCACAAAATTAAAAAAGTTTTTAAATACAGATTTATTTTGTCTTCAAATAGTATTAGATGGTTGTCTGATAGAGCCTTTTGTGCTTTACGTATAAACATCTGTTTTATTATCCCTTATTCATTGAAAGACGTTAGGAGCAACATAAAGCTTTTCCAGTTGTCAGACATATGGGAATTGCATTATATTCAAAGTCAGATTTCATTACGAATAGTAATCATTTGGAGGATAACTGAAGACCTGACAAAACTGGGATAGGACTCACGAGCCTCAGGTCACGAGGCCAGTTCGTCACCATCCAGCCAGTGGATCTCGATACAATGAACCGTAGAAATTCTGTTACTTCGCGACACAGTCGTACCTCCATCCAAAGTCATCAGCGAGTGTCTCTTCTGATTGGTAATACGTTAGTTTTGCAACCTTCGGTTCATGAAGGTGTACTTCTGAATACTCCTAAACTAAGAAGAAACATCTGTTCCGTGATAGCTGATTTTCAGCAGTCTTCTGACTAGTGTCAGTTCGTGATGAAATCTACCTCGAAAACAACAGAAAGAACTTCGAAATTTCAACTATCAGGTTTAACACTGATAACAAAAATTCCATTATAACTTGTAAAAACTCCCTAAGCAGAAATGGTAAGAAATTCGATTGTTTTACTTAAACGTTCTTCATTAATCATTTTTCGCTACAGAGGTCTCCATAAAAACTATTAATTCATGCTAAACACTAAGACTTCAAAAAAATTTCAGTTTGGAAAATATTTCAACCAAATGTCACAAGTTTCTTATAGGCATTACCTGTGATGACAACTCAATAAAATGTAGACAAAAAATGTGTATATTTTATTTCGAGGCTTCTCTTCAACTGCGGAAGGCTTAAAATATCCATAATAATGACAAAACAAGAACATACATTTAAAAAAATCTTATAAGTAGAAGTTTAGCAAAGTAGGCGTAGATAAGCTAGTTAAGAGATTGTGAGCAAGTACATGCATTACCAGATTAACAGTCTAGGATTTGATATTACTGATTAAGCTGAAAACATCAACAGATCAATAGGTAGATCACAGAATATGTAACTCCAACATCGACATATATTTATATATACTGAAAACATTTCCTTCCTGTAGTAAATTCAAAACAAGCACCAACTGTAAAAAAAAACAAAATGTCAAGTCGAAATGTCTTTTGATTCACTTTGCTGAACACTGTCCCGAATGACTTACTAGAACTCATGATGGTATCCTAATGAAATCAGTCACAAGGCATTTGTTGAACTGTAATCATACAGCGACACTGAGTAAAAGTATTACAGTCATTAATAAGTAAGGTAATAAAAAAGCTCTTGGCTTCACGGAGGCATGCGCAGTCAGATTAAAGAAGCTGCATCTATGTATATAAATGGGAAACAGTAGTTAGCTTAGATCTACCGCCTTAGCATACTTTTATCTTACCTCTTTAATCTTCCCTCACTTCTTTGCAATGTTTTTCTGTTGTCATCAATATTAATATTACCATTATATTTTTATCTGGCACACTGTTGATTATTTCTTAGGGCAGTGGTAAGTTGAAAATTATAGTTAAGTATTAATTAATCTTGGTGAGGAATGTTCAAACTATCCTATGAGTTTAAACCAGACACGTTAAAATCTTGTTATTTAGTCCTAAATAGTTTGTAAATTTTTAACAAATTTATTTGTTTCTTTTATTTTGCGAGGTTCCCTTGTATTTCATAATTATTAAATTGTACTATTTTTACCACAATAACTCCATTTTATATATTAATATGTACTTTGATGAATATTATTCACACCTTAGTGACGTTAACAGATTATTACTCACTGCTTATAGATCATATATTAGTTGAAATTAATACCTATTTGTTGTCACAATGTTCATACGTTTATGTGTATTGAACGTTAGAAAATTGTATAAATAACAGTGTTTGTGGAGTATTCAGCTGACGAGTCCTATAGAAATTTATGAAATCGTTAAATACTGTGTTTTTTTTCACAATTTGTGCTTGTTTCATATAATATATATGCATATATATGCATACAGTGTCACGAGTTATGCATTGTGAGCGAACTTGAACACTGTGGCCCACTCGTAAAATTTTTGATTTCCAAATTAATAAACCAAATTTCTAGACATATAAGCTGATAACTACAGTCAACACCAGTTTTCTGAACGAAACGCTGGAATTACTTATTTCGATTTAACTTAGATTTATACAAACATTTTTTAATGTGTACTTTTTACTCTCCACTCCATGCTTGTGGAACTATTCAGTACAGAGTTCATATAGATGACAAAAAAGGTTTCAAAACAATTGTTACAAGTCACTCTTACTGAAAAATAAGTCAGTTTAGTTTAAATAGTGCATTTACAATTGACATGATTATGAATAGTAAACTCTGTTTGAAACGTTAACTAGCAATTTACACTATTTCAAATAAACTAATTAATATGAAACTATCTAATATCTGCTGCTAGAAATGATTAATTATTGTACAACTAGGTTATGCGAGACGACTTCAGCTAGCTGTATATGACCAAAGTATTCAGTTCCCAGTTTACATTCTGCATCAGTTTAGTCTCCAGAAAACGAGAAGTGTAGTGATTTATGATAAAAATGATGCTAAATATATACAACTTGGCAGAAAAAACAAGTTGTGCAAAAAGTAGAGAGTAAAACAGATTAATACGTTCAGCAGTTCAGTAGCTACAACACAAAATCCAATACCACTCCAGTGATCCATACTTGTCAATGGTTTTTTGATCCATGTTAGAATATTTAAAAGAATTTTAAAAAAGTTACATACCTTTCTTTTTAGTCATATTTCTACCAATAAACGTTATGACAAACAGTGGCATGATGGGAAGACAACTTTCCGAAGTTTACACCCAGATTGATATTTAGAAATTCA